TGGTTTTCGGGCCTTTGTATTAAACTATACATACATGCATGGTGCGGGGTTTTTTTCTAATTGTTTAAGCAACTTTATTAATTATGTATGGTTTATAAACATTATTTTAAACATTATGCACTTTTTTTCAAAGATTGTTGTGTAATTTTATTACGCTTTGAAGAAACATGCATAACATTTTGCTCGATGCGCCCTCTTGTGGCCTCAGGAGAGAAGCCAAAAGCTTTTTTTCCCCCTAACTGAAATTATGCATTTTAAATTAGAATATAATTCGAATTTTGATTATTTAAGTGGAAAACTCAAATTTTGTTTTTCAGTCATTTTGACAGCCCTAAGAGAAACTAAAGCAATTCTTTGATTAGAAATTCAAGATTGCATTCTTAGTGAACTGATAGTATTAATAAACACACATGTAATTAACATTTATTCAGACACCATTGCATTGCTTTACTCCTCTATTTGAGAGGTCATGCTGTATTGTGAATATACTTCACTTTAATGCACAGCCTTGAGTGCATTGAGTTAATTAAATGGTTACTATTAATACATAATAAAACTTTTTTTGTTGTTGAATTATTTTAGTAAGTTTTGGATTGGATTGCACATGTTAGCATTTGATGTTAGTAGTTAATTAATAATATTAGTCAATAATATTTTTTCCCCTTCTGTGTTGCCTCAGAAGGTTTTAAAGAGCATTTATCAAATCAGATATTTGCACAATGAGATTTAAAGTGAATAAGGTACATTTTGAATTCATATCGTCTTAATTAAGCAATAACCTGTATTAACTGTCAGGTCCCTGTTTAACGTGCTGTTTACGGATTTATTTTTTAATAAATGCACACTATTTGCTCGTTGTTTTCAGACGAAGCAGTCTCAGGAGCTTTCTGATCAACTACAGAAGGTACAGTAAGCTGCCAGCAGTGTTATAAGATGGCTCATTTATGGTTTATTAATGAGCGACTTCTCTTATTGTGTGTAATCTCTTCTCATCAGGAGCGCAAAGAGTTTGAGCAGAAGTTCACTAAGGAGCAGGGAGCAATACGTGAACAGCTACAGGTGAACAGATTACACGGGACAGAAGTCATGGTCTGTTCGCTGATAAATAAGCATGCTGGGACCATCAGTGATGCAATATTTGGCCGCATTTATGTTGACCAGGGCTTATATATTATAGAACAAACTGACCGAGCAAATTCACTCACTTCAAACGAATCTGACTTCTCAGGAACTTGTTGATATAATGGAAACCAACAATACTTCAAATGTTGTACCGTAGTCATTTGTTCACTGAAACTGAAATCAAAACAAAAGGACTGACTCAGAACAGACTAGATAAACATAGAGACAGACTCTCATCTCTAGAAATAACGCGCTGAAGTGAATAAACATCTGAATGCAGATGTGTGAAATCTCGATCTCAGTCTGAAGGAGGAAAAATTCAGATTCATTATATGCATGGTTCACATTGACTGGTTTTAAATCACATTAGATGTGGCCTGAATCTGAATTCTGTCTATAAAAACTATATTAATCCTAATTTTAATTTTCTGAGATTTGCTTTTAAATTGGATTTTCCAAAAGGTAGTGAACTCAGTTGGTCTTTTAAGGAAAAGATTATTAATAAATACTAATAATTGAATTCGAAAGAAATCAGATGTTTTATCGACAGCAGAACTCATTTACTGTTGAATGTAATTTAGTTTACGTTAACTTGATGTCAGTGCTGTTATGCAAACGTAAGGTTTCATGTGTTTAATGATGCATGTTGTCCACTTTCAGGTTCACATTCAGACCATCGGCATCCTGGTGTCTGAGAAATCAGAGCTACAGACGGCTCTGTCTTACACACAGCAGGCAGCGCGACACAAGACAGGTGTGTGAGAGAGTGTGAGAGTGAGAGTGAGAGAGAGTGTGTGTGTGTGAGAGAGAGTGTGTGTGTGAGAGAGAGAGAGAGAGAGAGTGTGTGTGTGTGTGTGTGTGTGTGTGAGAGAGAGAGAAATGCCACATGCTCAGAATTGTGCAAAATATTATTTGTGTGATTTTCAAAAAACATGTAAACATTATGTGTAGGACGTAGGTCATGTGTAAAATATACAATTAAAAACCAAGAAAATTACAACCAAGTACGTCATGATTGTATTTGTTGTACTGTCTTGATTTAAATAAGAAAACAAAAACTTTATAATAATAATTTCTTTACCATAATCCAGTAAAAATTATTACATTGTAAGGATGCTCGATATTATCGGAACGTTATTGAAATCGGCCGATAATGGCTTAAAGGGGTCATATGATGCGACATGCTCTTTTACAAGTAGTTTGAACTTAAATGTTCAGTGTGTGTACACAACCACCTTATAATGGTACAAATCCACCCAGGGTTTTTTATTTTTTTTTATTTATTTTTTTTAAAATCTGCTCAAATTTTTACCCCTTTCTCAAATCGAGCCGATCTCAGATGCCTGTCTGTGTGACGTCACACAGACAGGCCCCTCCCACGATAGTTTGATTGACAGTAGCGTTTCAGCACGGACTGGACTGGTGTCTAGCTCCACCCTGAGGGACTGTCATCAGTCCGCCATTGTTTCACCGCCGGAGCAGATGTAGACAAGAATGACTCCTGAGCGATTGAGGTGTTCTGTTGTTGGATGTAGTAATGAACAGCAGTCGTCATTTACTCCCGACATCTGAGCCGCCCCGATCTACCTAAATGCGTTAGTTCGCGCGAATCAATCGTGATCCAGCTTCACCTACAGAAGAAGTGAGTGTAAGGTTTTCTAATGAATCTTTGCAAATCGCCTTTCCTAATAATGTGCTAATTAGCAAGTTTCACGATGAATGCGGCTAAAGTAAACAGTCTCTCTGAGAGCAACTTGGAAGAGAGGGGCAGAGTCAGCAGAGCTCATTAACATTTAAAGGAACATGCTACAAAACGGCTTGCTCTGAAAAGAGATCTTTTTTACCCTGTCAAAAGCATGTTTTTACACTACCATTGAGAAATTTTAACCAAGCTATGTTACAGACTTTTCATTAAGACCCTAAAGAATCATATCAACTTCTGGAAAATGGGCATCCTATAACCCCTTTAAAATGTCTGTATCGGCCCAATATGTAAAATTATGCCGATATGCGTCTTACCGATAAGACGAGTAACTCACATGTGCTCAGAGAGTGCTAGCGAAAAGATCACGTCAGCAGTGTGGCTCATTCTTGAAGCGAACCTTTTTCTGAATGATTAGATATTCACTGTTTTGAGCATTTGATCTGAGAATGTGAGTACAGAATGAGGCATCCGGTGTGCGATAGTCAACAGTCCAAACAAATAACATTAAGATTGTGTTTCTGATTAAATAAAGCAGTAATTAATGTCATAAAATCACAAGGATGGTTTGATTTAAAGGTCAGAAGGTATAAAAATCACAAACAATACACTTGTAAATTAAATAATTTATATATATATATATATACACACACACACACACACAGATTCATTCATTAATGTGTAATATGTTTTGGATTATGAAAACTTAAATGCAAGGAGCTCTAAAAGATTTTTCAGAACTCTTTTGCTTTAGACCATCTTACACATGTTAAATATTCAAATAAAATATTAAGGATTTCTTTATAGTTATTTTCAAAGCTTACAATGTAATCTTATTATAAAAGAACTTCATTGTTTATTTAATTCTCAAAAGTAAGTTTTTGTTAAAAAAATAATTTGTTTATAATCTCTGCACAGGAGAGACTTGGTGTTGTTTCCAAACAAAAGGAAATATATTGGTATCGGCCAAAATGAGTTGAAAAATATCGGATATCATGCATCTCTATTACATTGATAAAAATCTTATGAGAATCTCATTGGCAGTTATAAGTTTGTTAACTGCATTGCCAATCTGAATTGAAGCTGTAAAAATTATATTAATCTAATAATATACATATTAATGCCTGTAAATTGAATTTTCCAAAATATAACTGAACTCAGTCGGTCTTTTAAGAACGAAAAACTTTTTAATGAATATATGTAATTGGAGAAAAATAAAACTAATTTACATTAGTACAATTGAAATCTCAGTGACGGTTATAATTAGGTTTTTGTCAATTACAAAAAAAAAAAAAGTCTTATTTTTCTTCATGCAAAATATCATTTATTTTCTGCATGTGGTAAAGTATGAACCGTATATATCTTTATTTGCTGTGTGTTTGAGCAGGAGAGGCAGAAGACCTGAGCTCGCGGCTGCAGGCCAGTAAACAGCGAGTGTCTGAGCTCGAGAGGACGCTATCTACAGTCTCTACACAACAGAAGCAGTTTGAGAAGGTACCAGATCCTCGGTTTGTCTTCATCATCAGCTGCGTTTGACAGAACGACTCCGTTCATCTCAGAAATCCTCGTTTGCTTTTTTTCTGCAGCATAATAAAGAGCTTGAGAAGGAGCGGGACAGTCTACGATTGGAAGTCTTCCGGTTTAGGTAAGACAGTTGAGTTGTGTTTTACTCCTCCTTTAGCAGCAGATGCGATGTGAGTGTGTGCTGCATGAATATGGTCTCTGTGTCTGTCAGTAATGTGAGCGAGGAGTCCAGACAGCAGAGCTCAGAGCTGTCCGAGCAGCTCAAGCTGAGAGTAAACGAGAACAACGGCTTGAAGCAGGAGGTTGATGAGCTCCGTAAGCGGCTGGAGATGGCCGACGTCATGCTGCAGCAGGTGAGGAGACGCTTTAAGCATTTACTGTGCACTCGCTGTAGTTCCTGTGACATGAAATGCCTTTTCAAATCACTCCTGCAGTTCTCCAGTCAGTCGGGTCCTCCGTCTGAAGGGCAGCAGGTTCAGCTCCTCCTGGAAGAGAAACACCAGTTAGAGGCTCACGCGGCTCAGGTGTGTGCTGCTGTAATGTGGGAAATGTTTCCATGTGTTAGTCATTGTGAACGTCATGCTAAGTTTCCCAATGTTGTGTGTGTGTCTCTGTGTGTGTCTCTGTGTGTGTCTCTGTGTGTGTCTCTGTGTGTGTCTCTGTGTGTGTCTCTGTGTGTGTCTCTGTGTGTGTCTCTGTGTGTGTCTCTGTGTGTGTCTCTGTGTGTGTCTCTGTGTGTGTCTCTGTGTGTGTCTCTGTGTGTGTCTCTGTGTGTGT